CTTCCCTTCCCTTCCCTTCCCTTCCCTTCCCTTCCTCATCTTTTCTCTCCTCTCCTTTTCCCCTTTTTCCCCTTCCCTCTCTTTTCCCTCTCCTTTCCCCTTTCCTTCAATTCCTGCTACACATTGCAAACAGTTTGAACACAAATTATTTCGTTTCTGAATTAGAACTAATTAGCTGACTGGTCCGTTTAAGGAGTTAACCACGTGCCATCCATTTTTTGGATTTTTGATAATTATCAAAACAGTGAAATATTCTCTGTGTGGGGGTTGTGATTGCTGAAGGATCTGGGGAATTCAGGAGGTTGTGGCTGTCTGGGAGGCACCTGAGCAGGGAGAGGAGGCTTTGCCTTCAGCTGGGAAGGTGTGGGATGAAAGGACACGGGAAGGGAGGAGGGCAGTGACGCAGAGAAGGAAGGCAGGAACTGATTTTAGCATTCATAATTTAATAAAACCAGTTTTTTCCCTGATTCCCCACATTTTGGCCCTGCAGTGTCTGCATCTCAGCTCTGTGTTCAGCAGCACAAACGTTGTGAAATGTGCAGTTTAATGATTCTCTGGGATTTGTTTGATCCCGTGGCTCCAGAGCCACCCTAATTAGGGAGCTTTGTGTGATCCTGCTCTGGCCATGCCAGGAACAGATGCTGCAGGGCCTGAGCAGAGCCAATTACACCTGGCCACGGAAAACCAGGCTTGGGAGGAAAGAATCATTGCTTTGGTGGTTTTTTTAATGGGATAATTGGGAGAAAGGAAGTTTGGGAGAACCCTGGCTGCCCCAGTCAGAGCTGGGCAACCTCCAGCTTTGGATAGCTTTGGGAGCTTGTCCAAATTCTCCAGGGATGGGGATTCCTCACTGTCCCAGGGCTGCACACACTCTCTATCCCATCTCTTCTCCCACCCACTTGTATCCAAACCCTTTCCTCTTGCTGTGAACTCCGTGTTCCCTTCTCTTTAACCCTTTTTTGGCAGAAGCCTCTCTGCACCCATGATTTCCAGACCCGGCTGGAATTCCAGATCTAGCTGGAATTCCAGACCCAGCTGGAATTCCAGACCCAGCTGGAATTTTGCCTCCTGGCACCCCTAACTCCGTGCTCCCCCCAGGAATGCCCCCCATGCAGGTGCACCACGGGCCGCCTGGCATGGGGCAGCACCACCCGGGACCACCAGGCTCTGGAGGACAGCCACCCCCCCGGCCCCCCCCGGGAATGCCACACCCCGGGCCGCCCCCCATGGGGCTCCCCCCTCGGGGGCCACACTTTGGATCTCCAATGGGTGAGTTGGGGTCTGGTTTTGGGGGCTCTGCTTTGGGGGAGGAGGAGGAGGAGGGGTGTGAAGCAAAACCTGCGGGACCTGGCACCCACCCCCCAACTTTGGGGTGTTCACAGGGCTTCCTCATAGTGACCCTGCACCCCAACTTGGGGATATCCACAGCTTTGGGGTGGTTTTGTGCCCTCTGGGATTTTTGGAGCAATTCCTGAATCTGGGGAATCTTTGCCAAGCTGAGGGGGGGCACCTGCTGCATGTGGCACCCCTGGGTGTGGGGTGGGCACCTCCAGGGAGATTTGGGGTGTTCAGAGGGCTTCCTCCTAGTGACCCTGCACCCCATCTTGGGGGTATCCATAGCTTTGGGGTGGTTTTTGATGCCCTTTTTGCCCTCTGGGGTTTTTGGAGCAATTCCTGATTCTGGGGAGTGTTTGCCAAGCTGGGGGGGGGCACCTGCTGCACGTGGCACCCCTGGGTGTGGGGTGGGCCCCTCCAGGGAGATTTGGGGGGTTCAGAGGGCTTCCTCCTAGTGACCCTGCACCCCAACTTGGGGATATCCACAGCTTTGGGGTGGTTTTGTGCCCTCTGGGATTTTTGGAGCAATTCCTGATTCTGGGGAGTGTTTGCCAAGCTGGGGGGGGGCACCTGCTGCACGTGGCACCCCTGGGTGTGGGGTGGGCCCCTCCAGGGAGATTTGGGGGGTTCAGAGGGCTTCCTCCTAGTGACCCTGCACCCCAACTTGGGGATATCCACAGCTTTGGGGTGGTTTTGTGCCCTCTGGGATTTTTGGAGCAATTCCTGATTCTGGGGAGTGTTTGCCAAGCTGGGGGGGGGCACCTGCTGCACGTGGCACCCCTGGGTGTGGGGTGGGCCCCTCCAGGGAGATTTGGGGGGTTCAGAGGGCTTCCTCCTAGTGACCCTGCACCCCAACTTGGGGATATCCACAGCTTTGGGGTGGTTTTGTGCCCTCTGGGATTTTTGGAGCAATTCCTGATTCTGGGGAGTGTTTGCCAAGCTGGGGGGGGGCACCTGCTGCACGTGGCACCCCTGGGTGTGGGGTGGGCCCCTCCAGGGAGATTTGGGGGGTTCAGAGGGCTTCCTCCTAGTGACCCTGCACCCCAACTTGGGGATATCCACAGCTTTGGGGTGGTTTTGTGCCCTCTGGGATTTTTGGAGCAATTCCTGATTCTGGGGAGTGTTTGCCAAGCTGGGGGGGGGCACCTGCTGCACGTGGCACCCCTGGGTGTGGGGTGGGCCCCTCCAGGGAGATTTGGGGGGTTCAGAGGGCTTCCTCCTAGTGACCCTGCACCCCAACTTGGGGATATCCACAGCTTTGGGGTGGTTTTGTGCCCTCTGGGATTTTTGGAGCAATTCCTGATTCTGGGGAGTGTTTGCCAAGCTGGGGGGGGGCACCTGCTGCACGTGGCACCCCTGGGTGTGGGGTGGGCCCCTCCAGGGAGATTTGGGGGGTTCAGAGGGCTTCCTCCTAGTGACCCTGCACCCCAACTTGGGGATATCCACAGCTTTGGGGTGGTTTTGTGCCCTCTGGGATTTTTGGAGCAATTCCTGATTCTGGGGAGTGTTTGCCAAGCTGGGGGGGGGCACCTGCTGCACGTGGCACCCCTGGGTGTGGGGTGGGCCCCTCCAGGGAGATTTGGGGGGTTCAGAGGGCTTCCTCCTAGTGACCCTGCACCCCAACTTGGGGATATCCACAGCTTTGGGGTGGTTTTGTGCCCTCTGGGATTTTTGGAGCAATTCCTGATTCTGGGGAGTGTTTGCCAAGCTGGGGGGGGGCACCTGCTGCACGTGGCACCCCTGGGTGTGGGGTGGGCCCCTCCAGGGAGATTTGGGGGGTTCAGAGGGCTTCCTCCTAGTGACCCTGCACCCCAACTTGGGGATATCCACAGCTTTGGGGTGGTTTTGTGCCCTCTGGGATTTTTGGAGCAATTCCTGATTCTGGGGAGTGTTTGCCAAGCTGGGGGGGGGCACCTGCTGCACGTGGCACCCCTGGGTGTGGGGTGGGCCCCTCCAGGGAGATTTGGGGGGTTCAGAGGGCTTCCTCCTAGTGACCCTGCACCCCAACTTGGGGATATCCACAGCTTTGGGGTGGTTTTGTGCCCTCTGGGATTTTTGGAGCAATTCCTGATTCTGGGGAGTGTTTGCCAAGCTGGGGGGGGGCACCTGCTGCACGTGGCACCCCTGGGTGTGGGGTGGGCCCCTCCAGGGAGATTTGGGGGGTTCAGAGGGCTTCCTCCTAGTGACCCTGCACCCCAACTTGGGGATATCCACAGCTTTGGGGTGGTTTTGTGCCCTCTGGGATTTTTGGAGCAATTCCTGATTCTGGGGAGTGTTTGCCAAGCTGGGGGGGGGCACCTGCTGCACGTGGCACCCCTGGGTGTGGGGTGGGCCCCTCCAGGGAGATTTGGGGGGTTCAGAGGGCTTCCTCCTAGTGACCCTGCACCCCAACTTGGGGATATCCACAGCTTTGGGGTGGTTTTGTGCCCTCTGGGATTTTTGGAGCAATTCCTGATTCTGGGGAGTGTTTGCCAAGCTGGGGGGGGGCACCTGCTGCACGTGGCACCCCTGGGTGTGGGGTGGGCCCCTCCAGGGAGATTTGGGGGGTTCAGAGGGCTTCCTCCTAGTGACCCTGCACCCCAACTTGGGGATATCCACAGCTTTGGGGTGGTTTTGTGCCCTCTGGGATTTTTGGAGCAATTCCTGATTCTGGGGAGTGTTTGCCAAGCTGGGGGGGGGCACCTGCTGCACGTGGCACCCCTGGGTGTGGGGTGGGCCCCTCCAGGGAGATTTGGGGGGTTCAGAGGGCTTCCTCCTAGTGACCCTGCACCCCAACTTGGGGATATCCACAGCTTTGGGGTGGTTTTGTGCCCTCTGGGATTTTTGGAGCAATTCCTGATTCTGGGGAGTGTTTGCCAAGCTGGGGGGGGGCACCTGCTGCACGTGGCCCCCCGGGGTGTGGGGTGGGCACCTCCAGGGAACTTTGGGGTGTTCACAGGGCTTCCTCATAGTGACCCTGCACCCCAACTTGGGGATATCCACAGCTTTGGGGTGGTTTTTGATGCCCTTTTTGCTCTCTGGGGTTTTTGGAGCAATTCCTGATTCTGGGGAGTGTTTACCAAGCTGGGGGGGCACCTGCTGCACGTGGCAGCCCTGGGTGTGTGCTGGGAATTTTGGGAGGTGGGTTTGGGCTGGTGGGTCACGTTCCTCCAGGGGTTTTTGGGGGGGCTCTGTCCTTTCCCCTGGCTCTGACCCCCCTGTCCCCCACAGGTCACCCCGGGCCGCTGCCGCACCACGGGCTCCGCGGGCCCCCCCCTCTGATGCCCCCCCACGGCTACAATGGACCCCCCAGGCCCCCTCCCTACGGCTACCAGAGGGTCCCACTGCCCCCTCGACCAGCTCAGAGACCCCCTGGAGTCCCCCCTCGTGGGCCCCTGCGAGGACCCCTGCCCTGAGGAGGGGGGGGCTCTCTGCTCCCCGTCCTTCCACAGCCCCTGGTGTCAACATTCCCCCTCCTGCCAAGGGCTGGGGGCCATGCCCTGCTCCTCCCTTCCCTCCCCATTTCTTCCCCTCATTTGTTTTTATAGTGTTGATTTTCCTCCCTCTCCCCATCTCCTGTTTCTCTTCCCCTGGAAGCTTTTCCAAGTTTCTTTTTACAGGATTTTGTTGGTTTTGTATGGAAAGCAGTGGCCACCCACTTGCAAATAAAGGATTTGGAAACCAAAAGTGGTTTTGGATTGGGACTGAGTTCTCTTCCCTGCTTGGGCCATTGGGAAGAACCAGGCTGGAGGGATTTGGGGCAGAGCTGATCCATGCTCCCCTGGAAGAGTGTGCTCCAAGGAAATGTCTGGATTCCCATTCTTGAGCTCCCCAAACCCAGGGAGCTGAGGTTGGACCGTGGAATATTTTTGTGTCAAGGTTTAGCCAAAGTCAAACATTCATCTTCAAAAGGCTTCTCCTGCCCCTGGGCAATGCCAGAGCCTCCAAGAGCTGGGAGTTTTTGGGGGGACGTGGAAGTGGGAATTCGCTGCTTCCTTCCTTCTTCATCCCAGTGTTGTCTTCTCACAGCCAGGTGGGAGCCCTAGGGACTGGATGGGATAGAAGGGAAGCCTGGTCCCCCTCCTGATCCTTCACATCCACAAATGTGGGGAGAGCCCCACGTGGGCTGGTGGGATGAGTGGATTTAAGTGTCGGGGTGGGGTGTGTGCTGTGGGAATGGGGATTCCCTGTGGTGCTGAGCCAAGGGGCTGAAGAGATCTCCAGAATCCAAAGATTCCTGCTTGGATGCAGGGAGCCCCAGTGTGGCATTTCCCTGCTCCTCACTCATGGAAGCCACCAGGATCCACCTGGAGCAGCCACTTTCCCTGCATTAATTCCATCATCATCATCATCATCATCATCCTCCTCCCCTGGAGGCATCCACTGTCACCCCGTTTTATCCCTGGTGTTATGCTGTCATTCCCAGCCACATCCTCTCTTCCCCCTGACTGCAGTCCTTTGTCAGCCCTGATTTTCTCCCCTTTCCTCCCATTTTTCCCCTGTTTTTATGTTTTTATCCCATTCCCCTCAGCTCTTTCCATGTGTTTTGGGCCGGGTGGAGCCCTCGGGACAAGAGGAGCCATTCCCTGTCCTGCTGCCAAGCCTCTTCCCTCTGATGATCCAAAAAACACCCGGGGGCTCTGTGGGGACAGTGGCACATGAGTCACAGGGTGCCCGAGGATGTGGCACTGCTTGTCCCCTCCCCAGGCTCGTGATGCCTGCAGGGCACAGCCTGGATCCCGGCGCTGCCCATTTCCTCCACTGCCAGCCTCCTCCTGCACTTCCATCCCCCTTTTAGGGTTTTTTCTTCCCCTAAAGATGAATATCACAATTATTCCTCAGCTGCTGGGTCTCGAATCCTTCCCAGTGCAGGTTTTTCCCATCCCTGTTTTTCCATCTGAGGGGTGAAATGCTGATTTTGGTGGGTCCTGGCAGAGTGTGAGGCTTTGGGGTTGGCACCCTGGAAGTTGGGTCGGGTCAGCTCCTTGCAGGGATGGGTTGGGGCTCTGGGAATGTTGGGGTGCAGCTTGAAGGGGCTCTGGGAACACTGGAATGCCAGTGAAGGGGTCAGGGAATATTTTCCCTGTTGGGGCACCCCAAATCCCCCCCAGTCTGAGTCCCAGGAGCACCCAGCACCCCACAGCCCCGGGGTTTTGGGGCTGGAGAGCTGCAGCTCCCAATTTCCCACCCTCGGGAATCCATCCATGAGAAACGAGGGTGGCAATGTCCATCTCCAGCCCTAAAAATCCCCTAAAAATAAATAAATAAATCCATCGGTGGCTTTTGTGTCGCGTTGTAGCCTCGGGGCCGAGCCTGACCAGCCCAGGCGGGGACGATTTGATCCCAAAAAATCCCAATCCAGCCCCGCGGAGGCCGTGACTCAGCCGTGACGGGGGCGGGGGCGGGCTGAGCTTCTCCGACAGCTCCGAGAGGGGGGGTCCCCGGCTGATGCCCCCCATCCCACCCCCCTCTCCCCTCCATCCGCAGCCTCGGGAGCGGCTCCATCCCGGCCGCTCCATCCCGGGAACCCCGCTCCCGCGGGAGCTCCGCTTGCGCATCCCGGGAGATCCATCGCCCCCCGGGGCGGGCCGAGCCCCCCGCCCCCGCCGAGCCCCCCCGGCTCTCCGGGGCTGATCCCTCCCTTCGCGGGGTGCGCCGATGGGCTCTCCCAGCGCTCCGTGTGCGCGGCGGAGGCTGCGGCGGTAGCGCCGGTACCCGGCAGCTCCCGGCGCTCCGTTCCGCTGCCGGAGCATCCTTTTGCTCTCCGCATCCCTCCCCGAGCATCCTTCCTCCCCGGAGCATCCTTCCTCTCCGGAGCATCCCTCTCGCCGGCGCCGGGAAGGAGCTGGAGCGGGGCGAGGGCTGAGCCAGGTAAGGGGGAGCAAAACGCGTTTATAGCCCGCATCCCCCCTCCCCGCGGCGATAATCGGCGTCCTCGCTGGTGGATTCGGGGTTCGGCTTCCCCTTCCCCACTTGCTGTGGCCATTTTGTCCTGGAAAACCTTCCCCGGAGCCCGGCTCTGCCTTTGGATGTGCGTTTTTGGGGGGATCCTCTCATCCTCCCCCCACCCCGGCAGAGCAGCCGGAGGGGATCGGGAATTCGCCGCAGGGATGGGAGGGGGCAACCGGGGGGATTTTGGGGAAAGGGTAGCAGGGGGGGATGTTGGGGGGTGACCTTGGACACGAGCGATTCCCAACTCTTCCCCCTTGTCGCCATGTTCCTGGCATTCCGCAGGGAGGCTGGGGGCTGCGGGGGGGTGAGGGGGGATGCAGCCCCCCAGCGCGGGACTCCCGGGGCTTTTGGGGTGCGCGTTTGCGTCGATCCTCGGCTCCTCTCGGGTGCGTGGAGGAGGAGACAGATCCGGCCCCGATAACCTTGTGCAGAGCTGTCCAACGCCACGGCGGGGCTGCAGGGCCAGCGGCGTGCTCAGCCCCCAGATTGGCATTTTTTGGGGATCTCCTTGACCCCCACATTTCAGGGGCTGTGGTCTGGGGGGATTTCTGCCCCTCTGGTGGGGTCAAACCCCCCATCTCAGCCAGCTCTGGCTCCTGGCGTCGGCTCGGCCGCTCGAGCCTCCCTGGTTTGTAGGGCCAGGGAGCCAGCCGTGACCTTGCTCCCCAGCCCATCCTCTTCCTCACCGTGCCCCCCGCCTCTCCCTGCTCCCCCATTCCTCCTCCCGGCCCCCCAATACCTCCCGGAGTGTGGAATGCCGGCCCCACACGGGGAGGTTCCAAAGGGAACCGCGAGTCTGGCTGGAGCAAAATGACCTTGCTCATGGACCGGCCCCTTCCAGGAGCCCCGGCGAGGGGCTGGGGTCTCCCTGCAGCCAGAGGGGACGGCACGGGGGGCGATTTGTCCTTTTATCCTGCAGAACCACCTGCCTGCCTCTGCTCGGGAGTGGGGGCCCGTGCTGTGCCGCAGCCCCCCTCCCTGCAGGGTTCCCGAGGAGCTAAATTTAGCATCCCTGCGTGCCCTGTCCCCTCGCCTGGGCAGGGGGGGACACGTCGCCGGCTGCGTCCCTCTGCCCGCAGCTCCTTCCCGCCTGGCCGCTGATAAAAATAGCGCTTGGAGGGGGTCACGATGGACCCCGAGGGTGGAGGAGCAGCAGAATGGGGCTGGGGGGCTGCGGGTCCATCCCTGTCACGAGCTGAGCCGGGCTCTGTGCAGTGGGAGTGGGGAAGGGGGGGTGGGATGCTGCGATGTGGGGGGACATGGAGATGCCACCCCCAGGTGTTTGGATGCCCCTCTGCTCCTCCCGGGGGGCTCGTGGTACCCCCCAGCCCCCTTTGGCCGGGTCAGCATCTGCCAGTGCTGGCGTCTCCCACTGTAAATGCTGCCTGGCAGCTCCTGCAGCGAGCGTGGCCTGGCACGCTCGGGTCACTGTCACCCGAGGGACCCACCCAGGGATCCTCTGAGGGGCTGCTGTGCCCTGAGGCACCCAGCCAGGGCAGTGCTGGGCTCTCCATTTCGCTGGTTTGGGGGGGTTTGGGGTTTGGGGATCCCCTCATCCTCCCTGTGGTGCCCAGGGAAATGGGGAGCAGAGCTGCTGGTGGCCTTGTTTTTTGGGGGGATGGAGTGGGGCTGCTCAGGGGCAGCCGTGCCCCTGGTGTCCCCCCAGCTCCCCCTGGTGTCCCCCCAGCTCCCCCTGTGCTTTGCGATGAGGGCAGAAGGGATGGATCCAGGGGGACTGGGGGGGTCCCAGTGAACTGTGGCAGCCAGAGACCCCCAGTTGAGGGAAAGGGGCTGGCATGGAGCCAGCCTGTCCCCACTCCCCTGCTGCTCCACCCAGGGGTCCCCAAATCCTCCCGTTTCCACCTGAGATGGAGAAAAAATGTGAGGTGGCACACAGGGCCACCACCACCCAACCTCAGGCTGGTTTCCTCTGGGCTCCCCAGGTCCAGGCTGGCATCCAGGGTCCTCCCACACCCCGTTCCACGGATGGGTAGCTCCACCACCCCTCTCCCCTCACCCCGGGCCTGAGGGCGCAGCCCCCCACGCAGAGACCCCCCGTGCCCCGCCAGCGCCCCGTGCCAGCCCGAGGCCACCATGGACGAGTCGTTCCGGGACCGGACCGCGTTCATCCGCGGCGCCAAGGACATCGCCAAGGAGGTGAAGAAGCACGCGGCCAAGAAGGTGAGCCGGGGCATGGACCGAGTGCAGGACGAGTACACCCGGCGCTCCTACTCCCGCTTCGAGGAGGAGGAGGACGACGAAGACTACGCGCCCCAGGACGGCTACTACCGGGGGGGCGAGGGGGCCAACGAGGAGGAGGGGGTGTCCAGCGACGCCACCGAAGGCCACGATGAGGAGGATGAGATCTACGAGGGCGAGTACCAAGGGATCCCCCGGCAGGAGTCGCTGAAGGGGGGGGAGCGCCTGGGGGCCGCGGCGGCCGCCGGCGCGTTCGACGACAGCGAGGGGCAGCGGAGGAAGGACCGGGAGGAGCTGGCGCAGCAGTACGAGCTCATCCTGCAGGAGTGCGGCCACGGCCGCTTCCAGTGGACCCTCTACTTTGTCCTGGGCCTGGCCCTCATGGCTGACGGCGTGGAGATCTTCGTGGTGGGCTTCGTCCTGCCCAGCGCCGAGAAGGACATGTGCCTCTCCGACTCCAACAAGGGCATGCTGGGTGAGGAGACGGGCACGGGGGTGTGGGAGTCGTGGCTGGGGGGACAGGGGGTCAGGGGGACGTG